GCAAATGCCTGCGTGATCCCTGACTTGGGGAGATTCATAACCCAACCTCTTATCCACATGAATGTTGTGGGGGGAGGGTGCAAAATGTTTATTTTACTTATCAAATGAATAATAAGAAATCGTATTTTTTTTTTAAAGAAATTGTCAGTATTTGGCCGCTTTACATCTCTTAAAGGGCAATTTCGTATGGTCCGATGTGAACCCTCCCAGCAAACCCTCAGGGTAGTTTTTGTAACGACGGCACGCACAGGACGCACGACCCTGGCAGGCCTGTGCCCAATCACATCACCACACAATTGCTGATGGCCTTTGCCTTACACTCCATGGAACCTAAAACGCCACCAAGAATAAGGGGCTCTGGCCCCTTTGCCTGGTGATGGTTGAGGCAAGCCGCTGACTGAGCTCTGCAGATTTGCAAGCGGTTTGTTCTCCCCAGAGTTTTAGGGCTGCTGTGCATGCTCAGAGCCGCACACCTGTGAGGACTGATGAGCTGGCCCAGGAGAAAGGGCCCCCACCTACCCACAAGCAGGCGTCTGCCTCCTGCAGACAGGGGCAGTTCTTACCACAAGGGCCTTGAGGTTGAGGGGCAGTCCTAGGGGAGAGCCATGGACTGGGGTGGGCAGAGGGAGGCCAGCCTGCAAGCTCCCAGCAAGGAGAGGGTTCACCCAGGGGCTGTGGCTGAGCTGAGGCTGAGTCCAGGAGACAGCGCCAGTGCCAGCTGGTGGATGCCTGACTCACCTAGCCCTGCCCTTCCAGAATGAGGTGAGCTCCTCCCAGGTGTCAACGTGCTGTGGCCACACAGAGGGAGTGGAATAGCTCGCCACTGACCTGCAGTTGCATTTAGATGTCGAGACGTACCAAGAGTGCAGGGAGAAGCATGCCTCCCACAGAAGGGGGCTCTCAGGGAAAGGAGGCCTGCTTCCCAGGCCAGGCCAGAAATGGCTACGGTAGCAAGAGAAAGAGACCAGCTGCGGGCCGTGTCAGCGTGTGGGGTGGGCGAGGGCTTCCGCACACATGGGAAGGTTTGAACCTCGTACGAGCGCCAGGTCTAGTGGGGACACCTGGGCCTTCTCATCAGCCCGCCCAGGGCCTGGAGCAGAGAGCAAGGGGGTGAGGCTTAAATGCCATGGGCAGCCAGTTACCAGAAATGGAGTCAGACTCTATCGCAGACGGACAAGCCCACTTCCTGGGGTTGGATGCAATGTTCTGTGGCATGACAACACACGTATGTGTTCACATGTGTGTCACTGAGGGAACCTGACAGCCCCCGTAAGCCCTGCCATATCAGCATCCCTATCAATATGCGGGTGTTCCAGCCGGGCCTCTCCCTAGATCATCTTCACAGAACTGAGCCTGTCAAAATACACTCACAATTTCCAGCTATGAACAGTTCAACATGTACCAGACACCGCTGTACCACCCCCCAGATTTAACAAATGTTCATCTTTTCCATATTTGCTTTGTAGTGTTAAGGAGATCAAAGTTAGAGAGTTAGAGTCACAGCTCCACTCCCACTCTGCCTCCCCCCACCGCCCCCACAGGGGTTACCCCCCACCGAAGCTTTGCTGCCATTGCTCCTACGCCAACACGCGGAAACCGCACGGCCTGCGCGATTCACATGAAGGGCGTCACACTGTCCAGTCCTTTGACTACTGGCTTTTTTTCCACTCGACATCACATTTTTGTTTGTTTTATTTTTGTTTTGAGATGGAGTCTCGCACCGTAACTCAGGCTGGAGTACAATGGGGCAATCTAATTCGCTGCAACTTTTGCTTCCCAGGTTCAAGCAATTCTCCTGACTCAGCCTCCCAAATAGCTGGGATTACAGGCACCTGCCACCATGCCTGGCTAATTTTTGTGTTTTTAGTAGAGATGGGGTTTCACCCCGTTGGCCAGGCTGGTCTTGAACTCCTGACCTCAAGTGATCCACCCAGCTCAGCCTCCCAAAGCACTGGTATTATAGGTGTGAGCCATCACACCCGGCTGATACAACGTTTTTGGTTATCAGCATTGACTCGGGCAGCTCTCATCATTCACCCGAAATGTGGCCCAGGATACTCCTCCACATGCAGCCATGCCACAGCTCAGCCATGCCACAGCTCGGCCATGCCACAGCTCAACCATGCCACAGCTCAGCCATGCCACAGTTCATGCACCCTCCTCTTTCCTCCTGGCAGACAGGTTGGTTCACATTTCCTTTATAGTCCTTGTTTTTAGAGGAAGTATGGCCCAGGATGCTCCTCCACCTGCAGCCATGCCACAGCTCGGCCATGCCACAGCTCGGCCATGCCACAGCTCAGCCATGCCACTGTTCATGCGCCCTTCTCTTTCCTCCTGGCAGACAGGTTGGTTCACGTTTCCTTTATAGTCCTTGTTTTTAGAGGAAGTGTGCAAGGCTGCTCAGCCAGGAAGTTGCAAGACCAGGACACACACACAAGGCTGCAGACCCCAAATCTCCCATTACTTTTTTGTGTGTGATGGAGTCTCACTCTGCTGCCAGGCTGGAGTGAAGTGGCATGATCTCAGCTAACTGCAACCTCCGAATCCCTGGTTCAAGAGATTCTCCTGCCTCAGCCTCCCAAGGAGCTGGGACTACAGGCACACACAGGACTACACACACACCCAGCCAATTTTTGTATTTTTACTAGAGATGGTGTTTCACCATGTTGGCCAGGATGGTCTCGATCACCTGACCTCATGATCAGCCTGCCTCGGCCTCCCAAAGTGCTGGGATTACAGGTGTGAGCCACTGTGCCCATCCCAAATCTCCCATTCTTGCCATGTTGTCAGGCAGAGTTGACACAGCAATTCACAGAGCCTCGGTGAAACTACAAAGCCCCTGGCTGAGCACACTGGCGGTGCTGGTTTTAAAGACAGATTCCTGGGCACTCTGCTCCTCAACACTCTTCCTCTAAAAACAAGAACTGCAAAGGAAAAGTGAAACAACTCCTCTGCCAGGAGGAAGGAGGATGGTGTGCGAGCTGCGGCGTAGCTGCAGGCGGGGGAGTGTCCGGAGCCACACTGCAGGTGAATGATGAGAGCTGCTTGAGCCAACGCTGATCAACCAAAAGGAGAGCTTAATTTTCCTGCCCCTGAGTGCAGGCTGGACTTAGTCCTTCGCCTCTAACAAGAGATTACGGCAGACGTGGAGCAATGTCGCTTCCGAAATGAGGTTACAAAAAGACCGTGGCCTCCTCAGCCTCTCTCCCTCTCTGTGGAAAGCTGCTGCTGAGCTGTCATCTGCCCTATGGAGTCCCAGCAAGAAACAGCGGCTTCCCACAAACAGCCAGCGGAGGCCTGAGGTTGGCCAGCGATTTGGAAGTGGGTCCTGCAGCCCCATTTGAAGCCACCGTGACCCCAGCCTGGGCCAATGCCTTGACTCTGAGCATGTGAGATCCCTGGGCCGGCACCTCTCAGCCAGGCAGCCCCATGTTCCGCAACCCACAAAAACCATGAGATGGTAAATGCGCGTTGTCTTCAGCCCCGAGGCTGGGGGAGTGTTAGGCAGCAGCAGATAACTGAGGAACCTGTTCAGCACACGGAGGCCAGGCAAGGGGACACAGAGGAACTTGGGCCCAGCAGGTTCCACCACCCATAGCCTCCAGACACCTCTTCCCCATCATGTCCTGGCCTCAGAGGGCATGTGACAACCCACACCCGGGCCTGAGGCAGCAGCCACCAACATGAACCCCATCACAGTGTGCTGAGCTGTGCCCATGCCAGGGCCAACCCCAGCACATCCATGTGCAGAGGGACATGGTGACAGTGAAAGCCTCCCTCCCGCAATCCCTCTCCCTCTTCCGGTCAGGCAGCCCTCTCTCTAGTCCTCTGCCAATTCCCTCGCAGCCTTGACTCTGGAATCAGCAGAGCCAGCCCTGGTTTGCAGGGAGCCTGCCCTTAGTGGAGCTTTTTTCCCGAGTCTGACCTGCTGACACTAAACCCAACAGCCCTTGCCACAGGAGGGTTTTGGAACTTCCGCCACTGTGCTAAGGGGCTTGGGAGTCAGACAGACCTGGGTTTCCTATTCCCACACACCACCCTTCTCCCTGAGCCTCAGGCCTCCCTCCCCTCATCTGTGAAGTGGGATCAGTCATCTACCTACCTCCAGATGACAGAGATGCCAGGACAGGAAGCAGGCAGTGCGTAGGGCCTGCCGGATCTCAGGCTGTGGTTTAGGCGAGCTCGGGGATGGGCCAGGGAGGTTCCCTCTTGCTCCCCTCCAGCTCTGTGTACAAGGCCTTGCTGCTTCTCTGGGAGCCAGGCTGTGGGAAGTAGAAAAGTTTATTTTTAAAGTTTCCTTTCTTGTTAAAGAACAAGTGTGCTAAAAACTTTGTAAAGCCCCGTCCTATGTAGCTGTTAGACGTGCCATGCTTACAGGTACGCAGTACATTCTATGTCCTTGTACTTTAACCAAGATATCTGTGCTGGACGTGCTCACAGGCATGTCCCAGCTCTCCATTGCTTTCACCTGTTTAGAAAAGTTTTAAGTTGTTAGCAAATAGCATTTTAGTTTAGATTGTGAGGTCTGGCTCCAGCCAACGGAGATCAGACACAGCAGTAAGGACAACCCCAAACGTGTAAGGGATAAATTTGTGTGTTTTCCTTTGTTCATTGTACTCTCGTGGCACGATGGCTAGTGAGAGTACCCTTCCTCCAGGAAGTAAAAATCACGTTGCTGAAAATCCTTTGTCTCAGTGCTCATTTTTCTTTGCGGCACCAAGCAACCATTTCCAGCATCTATTTCCAACACACGCTGAGCAGTGCCTCTGTCCCCAGGGCCCTAGTGATGCTCACCCCTCGGCCTGGAATCCCCCCTGCTCCCTGCTAACTCGTTGTATTTAGGCAAAATTCGCATCACAAATTTTATCATTTTAACCGTTTTATTTATTTGATTTTTTTAATTTTAGAGATGACATCCCACTCTGTCGCCTAGGCTGGAGTGCAGTGAGGTCATAGCTCACTGCAGCTTCCAGCCTCCTGGGTTCAAGTGATCCTCCTGCCTCAGCCTCCCGAGTAGCTAGCACTATAGGTGTGTGCCACCATGCCACCCTGCCTATTTTAACCTGGACAATACAGTGGCATTTAGTACATTCACAGAGTTGTTGCAACCAGCAGCACCATCCGTCTAGCACCAGGGCACTCCCTTAACCCCAAAACAGAATCCCCGTCTCCATTAGCAGCCACTCCCACTCCCCCTCCTGACTCCTGCCCCGACTCCTGGCAACCACTTGTGAACTTTATGTGTTTATGGATTTGCCTACTGCAGACATTTCACATACACGGAATTACAATATGCCGTCACATTTATGACTGCATCACGGTTTCCAGGCCAGGCTGTGGTGGGACTCAGAACTTCTTTCCTTTTCGTGGCCAAGTAACACTACATTGGATGCACGGACCACGCTGTGTTTACCTGTTCATCAGTGACAGACCCTTGGTAGTGTCCAGCCTCTGGCTATTGTGGATAATGCTGCTATGGTATCTGTCTGAGCGCCTGTTTGAATTCTCTTGAGCAGACACCTAGGAGCAGAATTGCTAGGTCATAGGATGATTCTCCATATACTTTTGAGGAACTACCCCCACCACACCCAATTCTTACCAGTCCGTCAGATCTCAGTGCTGCCTGGCCTTTGTGCACCTCCTTCTCATTCTTGCCCACGCTTTCCTACCCTACTTGGCTTTGTGGAACCTTCCGGATGAAGGGGGTAAGCCTCCTGCCGGCAGGCATGAGTGCCTCGCTGCCCTGAACCCTGGTCTGGCACATGAAGGCCTGCCATGAGTATCTGTTCACATGTGAATAGAAGACCAGGTATGAGCTAACAGGTGTGCAGAGATGGCGCCATGAATCCAGGAGGGAGGGCCACGCCAGAACCAGGGCACAGGGCAGGCTGGAAGTGCTGGGAGTTTACACCCCAGGAGCTGCTCTCCAACAGCAAACAGGAGTCAAGGTTTGCGGGCTGTCTACAACCGCCGCCCCCGGCCCCCCAGCAGCAAGACAGAGCCCCAGCTGTTCACTGCTGCATCAGGTCTGGCTCCTTCCCTTCCCCCCTGTGACTCCGCTCTCCCACTGTGCTTTTTGGATCCCTCCTGACAGACTCTTTCTACCCAGATCCCAGCTCCCAGGGAACCGGCTGCCTAGGGAACCCAATCTAAAACAGCAGGGTCAGCCTCTGGCCCAAAAGAGGAACAACTTTGCCATCAGTCAGAATGAATAATAATTTATAAGGAGAATGAATAACAAGTAGGAGGCCTTCCCAAGGTCACTGCGCCAGGCATGGCGAGATGCTCATTCTCTCGGGCTGCACCAGGCTATGCTGCCTCCTATGAAGATTCAGTGGGGCGGGGGCTGCAGGAGGCAGTGAGGTGTCCAGGCTGCGACACGTCAGGTGGGTGCTCTCTGGGAGTCCGGCAAGCCCAGGGCCGGCACCTGAGGGTGGGCCCCACTGGACCCTGGTGGCCTTGGTCCAGATTCTAGGTGACTCGTGTACATATGTGTGTGTGTCAGTGTGTCTCTGTGTGTATGCACATGTGTATGTGTGTGTACATGTGTAAAGTGCATACGCATATGTCTTGTGCTTACATGTGTATACATGTATAGATACATGTGTGTATTATCCCTGTTTGCATGGCTGCGTACATATGTGTATGTGTGTACTGGTCTGTGTGTATATTCATGAGTGTGTGCATGTGTGTATATGTATTAGTGGATGTGTGCATGTGTGTATATCTATTAGTGGATGTGTGCATGTGTTTATATGTATTAGTGGATGTGTGCGTGTGTGAGGTTGCACACCTAATCATAGTTATCAAGTGCTTATCATGAGCCAAATATTGTTCTAAGAGTTTTACTTTTTTTTAGCCCACTTAATTCTCACAACCCCATAATTTGGGTGCTACAATCATCCCCATTTTACAGATGAGGGAACTGAGACTCCAGGGGTGAAGTGGTTTTCCTACAACCACACGGGTGGTGGCCAGTGGGGCTGGGATGCAAAGCCCTCTAGCCAGCTCCGGATCCACCCCCTGAGCCTCCAAAGCAGATCAGGGAGATGTGAGCAAAACTGTTTCCCCCAGCCACACGGCAGAGGGACACTCTGGCCTGCCATCCTTCCCTCAGTTCTAGCTCCTTCCCACGCTAGGAAGGCAAGAACACCAGCGTGTATGTAGCACATGTGCTCATTCCACAGTCAGGAGGGAGGACTCCAGGAGGCAGGCGGCTCCTGCAAGCTCACGGGGTGTGGGTGGTGCGGGAGACGGGGAGGCTCTAGAACTCCTGCCTACAGCCTGGCCTGGGAGAGGAAGGGGTACCCCACATGTCCTCCAGACTGCAGAGCCCTTTCCGTTTCAGCTAAGTGCTGGGAGATTTGCTCCCAAATCACCCGAGGTCTGCATAAGCTGCACGCCTTCTTCAATGGCCGATGGCTGGCAGAGCTGGCTCTCTGGGCTGAGGCAGCCCTGCCCCAGCTCACAGGCTTGGCCACTCTCCAGGGAACCTCCCACCTGGCCTTGGCTCTTCTGGGGTAGCTGCCTTTGTTCCCTGTGCCTCTGGCTTTAGTGGGAAAGAAAGAGGCCAGAAGGGACCCATGGGCTGGGAGGTGCCTCCCGCACCTATGTTTAGCTGAGCTGGGCTGTGTCCTGCCTGGCTCCAGGCCTCATCTGCCTGCTCGAGTTGGATCATGGGACCCAAGAGGAGACTGCCTGCGGTGACACTATGGACAGACAGGCTGGCCGGGGCCAGAATGGTATGTTTTGCAGTTCCTCCCGGACCAGAAAACCAGGACAGCCCTGGGTTTTTGTTATCAGAATTCTCCTTGGAAATCAACATGGTTTTTATCGCCATTTAATTTTTGAAACTTTGTTTCCTTATACAAGCAATATATCTCCACCTTAGAGAAATGAGAAATACAAAGTATCATAAAGAAAGGCTGAAATGTCTCTGCTCCACTATACAGCAAGGGTGAATCTCACAGTGTGAGTCTGAGTGCATTGGGAGGCTCTGTTCAGGATGACTCAGAGGCCACAACCTCGGAAACTAGCCTGGGGCATTCGGAGCCAGACTGGCCACCCTGGGGAGAGGAGTGAGGGCCTGGAAGGGGGTCTGGAATGTTCTATGGCTTAATTGGGTGCTGATTACACATGGGAGTTTCATTTGTGAAAATTCATCAAGCTGGACATTCACAATTTGTGCACTTTTCCATATGTATGGGCAATAAAATATTTACTATTTTGCTAAAATTTTTCCCCTTTCTATTCTCAAGGCATTGCCACTATTAATATTTTGGGTTGTTTCCTTATATACATTTTGCCACGCATCTACACACATTAGTTTTTCTCAGAAAGATAAAATCATCTTTTACCTCCCATGTTTTCACAGGAGGCAATAAATGCTGAAGCCACACTGTGGGGGTCCCACCCTGAACCCTCCAGCCAAGCCACTCACCTCCCGAGTTGTTGACGTGCAGGTGACAGTAGGAACTCTGTAGCTGTGAACTCTTCTTCAACTTGCTTTTTTCGCTGAATCTAGTGCAAACATCTTTCCAAACCAAGAACTAACACTTGTCCTACATACAAGGGAATCATAAATACAGGTCAATGTCCAACTGGATCCTCTAAATGTTTTCTATCCCTCTTGAATATGTCAATGTTTTGATTGTGGATGGAAAAGTCACAAGAGTGCTTATACACTGTAAATCATTAATTAAATTAGAAATGCTTTTTGAAATCAAAAGCGAGATAAGACAGGGTGTGGGGTAGAGACTAGCCGGCCGTCCATCACATTGCTTCCTCTTACTCCTGACAATGCAGGTCGTCTCCATTTCCCAGCCTTGCACTCAGGACGGTCACATGACAGTCTGTCCAGTGAGACTGGGACATAATGGTGGGCACACCTGGCCTTGGAAACTCCCCACACCCATCCTTCCCAAGTCTTCACCATCTGCTGGCTGGATGCCAGGAATCCTCCCGAGACACTGGTACCTAGGAGATGGTGAAGCCACCACAAGGAAAGGGCCTGGGCCCTGAGCCGCCTTGCGGAAGACCACCCACAAACACCCAACTAGAATTTGTGTAAAGAAGAACAAGCCCACGGCGCCACCTCTTATAAATGTCTGGGTTGACGGTACAGTGGCTGCCTCACCCTCATGCAGTGCATGAATTTGGAAGACGCGCTTCTTCTGCTTGGCACTCAAGTCCCTTTGCTCACCTCCATCACCTGTGTCGTCAATATCAGTGTCCTCATCTTCAAGAAGTACTTCTTGCGTCTTCTAACTCTGTTTTCCAAAACACACCATCTTCTCTTCACTTCTGAGTTCTTTGAGATTTTAACACACTCTGGGCACTGTTGAGGGTCATTTTATCAACACACAACTCTCTGCCAGGCATGGTGGCTCACACCTGTGATCCCAGCACTTCAGGAAGCTGAGATGGGCGGATCACTTGAGCTCAGATTGTGAGACCAGCCTGGCCAACATGGTGAAACCCCATCTCTATAAAAAAAAAAAAATACAAAAACTAGCTCGGTGTGGTGGTGCACACCTGTAGTCCCAGCTACTCGGGAGGCTGAGGTGGGAAGCAGCTGAGATCATGCCACTGCACTCCAGCCTGGGTGACAGAGTGAGACTCCATCTCAAAAAAAAAAAAAAAAATCACAACAGGTTTTATTCTGCACCCCCACCCCAACCCCTTTCGACTTGTAGGGTTGGGTTCCGCTCCCCATAACCAATGTTCTTTTTCTTTTCTTTTTCTTTTTTTTTTCAAGATAGGGTCTCAATCTGTCACCCAGGCTGGAGTGCAGCGGTGCAATCATGGTTTCCCGTAGCCTCGATCTCCTAGGCTCAAGTGATTCTCTGGCTTCAGTCTCCCGAACAGCTAGGATGACCGCTGCCCGTCACCATGCCTGGCTATTTTTGTTTTTTGTAGAGACAAGGTCTTGCCATGTTGCTCAGGCTGATCTCAAACACCTGGGCTCAAGTGATCCTCCTGCCTCAGCCTCCCAAAGTGCTGGGGTTGCAGGCATGAGCCACCATGCCCAGCCCAGTGTTTCTTTTTAAAGACATGTTTAAAAGGCAATGTCTACACTTGGGAGATCCTTCCTCAGGAAGAGCTACTGAATCTGTGGGTTTTTTTTTTTTTTTTTTTGCCTCCTTTGTTATTGTGTCTCTCAGTTTCTCCTCCAAGAATGCCTCATTAGGCCGGGCGCAGTGGCTCACACCTGTAATCCCAGCACTTTGGGAGGCTGAGGAGGGTGGATCACGAGGTCAAGAGATCGAGACCATCCTGGTCAACACGGTGAAACCCCGTCTCTACTAAAAATACAAAAATTAGCTGGGCATGGTGGCGCATGCCTGTAATCCCAGCTACTCAGGAGGCTGAGGCAGGAGAAATGCCTGGACCCAGGAGGCGGAGGTTGCGGTGAGCCAAAATCTCGCCATTGCACTCCAGCCTGCGGAAAAAGAGCAAAACTCTGTCTCGAAAAAAAAAAAAAAAAAAAGAATGCCTCATTAGAGCCCCCAGTTTTCCTCTAAGAGTTTCTCAGTTGAGGTTGTTTCAAAACAAGGTGTCTTCCCAAACAATACTTGGCTGTGCAAAGTGAAATCATTAAAAGACTAACCTGTAAAGACTTATGATTAGATGACTTTATTTTTAAACTGATATAGTTTGTTGTTCTTCTTATTTCATTTTTATTTTGGAGATTTGCAAGCCCATAAAAGGGTAGGGTGAATAGCATAACAAACACCCATAGCTAGGCATGGTGGCTCATGCCTGTAATTCCAGCAGTTTGGGAGCCTGAGGTGGGTGGATCACTGGAGTCCAGGAGTTCAAGACCAGCCTGGCCAAATTGGTGAAATCCTGTCTCTACTAAAAATACAAAAATTAGCCCAACATGGTGGTGTGTGCCTGTAATTCTAGCAACTCGAGAGGCTGATATAGGAGAATCACTTGAACCTGGGAGGTGGAGGTTGCAGTGAGCTGAGATCGTGCCATTGTACTCCAACCTGGGCAACAGAGCAAGACTCCATCTCAAAACAACAATAACAACAACAAAATACGCATGTACCCACCACTGAACTTCCATCGATATATGGCCCATCTTTCTTTTCTTTTTTTTTTTTTTTTTTTTGAAACAGAGCTTTCCTCTTGTTGCCCAGGCTGGGGTTCACTGCAACCTCTGCCTCCCGGGTTTAAGCGATTCTCCTGCATGGCCAGTCTTGTGTTAGCTACACCACATCCACCACACCCTCCGTTGTAAGGGATATGTTTGAGGGATGGAGGGAAACTTGGCCTTATATTTAAGGCTATCTCATATACTTACTCAAGATCATTGGAAAAAACCCATTTACTATAGAAAATGACAAATACGCATCTATCTAAGAAGGCAGAGTATAATGAAGCCCTCGTGCTCACCTAGGGTGCTACCCGGGGCTCGTCACCAGCTTCCACCTGGAAGCCATTTTCTCTCCGGCACACCCTCATTCTACCTCTCCCTGACTTTTCTGAAGCAGATGCCAGGTGAGCCGTCCTCCCTCCAGGCAGCATCCCTGCTGACAGCTGTCTCTGTGCACATGTGGTTGAAGGACGTCAGTGGGACAACCCTGCAGATATCCAGGGTTCAGGTCTCAGCACCCCGTTTAGGTCTCAGCTGTGTGACCTTGGACAGGCGACTTCCCATCTCTGAGCATTCTCCCTACACGGCCTTCCTCACAGGGCTTCTCAGGGCATTCTGTGAAAATGTCTGTGAAATGTGGAACACAAGAAATTCTGACCAGGCACGGTGGCTTATGCCGGTAATCCCAGCTACTCGGGAGGCTGAGGCAGGAGAATCGCTTGAATCCAGGAGGCAGAGGTTGCAGCGAGCCAAGATCATGCCACTGCACTCCAGGCTGGGCAACAGAGCAAATCTCTGTCTCAAAAAAAAAGAAAAAAGAAAGAAAGAAAAAGAAAAGAAATTCTGATTAGTGTTATTCCTTTACTTATTTATTTTATTTATTGTTTTGAGATCGAGTCTCGCTCTGTTGCCCAGGTTGGAGTGCAGTAGCACGATGTTGGCTCACTACAACCTCCGCCTTCAGGGTTCAAGCAATTCTCCCGCCTCAGCCTCCCAAGTAGCTGGGATTACAGGTGTCCGCCATCATATCTGGCTAATTTTTTTTATATTTTTGGTAGAAGGGGGTTTCACCATGTTGGCCAGGCTGGTCTCAAACACCTGCCCATAAGTGTTCCACCTGTCTCAGCCTCCCAAAGTGCTGGGATTACAGGCATGAGCCACTGCACCCAGCCTATTTTTGAGACAAGTCTTGCTGTTGCCCAGGCTGGAGTGCAGTGACGCAATCACAGCTCACTGAAACCTCCTGGCTCAAGCCATCCTCCTGCCTCAGCCTCCGAGTCACTGGGTGCAAAGTTTAAATTTATAATTTCAGCTAATTATTTTTTATTTTTTGGAGATGAGGTCTCTCCATGTTGCCCGGGCTGGCCTCAAACTCCTGGGCTCAAGTAATCCACTTGCCTTGGCCTCTTAAAGTGCCGGGATTACAGGTGTGGGCCACTATGCCTGGCCTAATCAGTACTGTTTCTTGATAAATGATTTTTAAAGTACTTTAAAAGCTGAGGAGGGGTAGCTGGTGCCAGGGTGTGGAAGAAAGAACCGTTCAGGTGCAGTCTGTGCCTCACTGAGGGGTGGGAGGGGTGAGCCCCTCATTCAGCTGGGAGGCCACAAGACACCCCCAGTGGATGAGTGGGAGAGGGTGCCTGCTCTTACCCAGGAATATGAGATGCTAGTGGCTCCCTTGCAGGGCTCAACTGCAACAGTCATTCCTCCCAGGGCGCGCTGGGTACTGGGGAAGGCAGCATGAATCACTGTGTCCACCCGCCCCTCCCAGGCTGCCTGCCCCACAGGTGCCCAAGGTGACGCCGAGTCCAGAAGGCTGGGACTGGAGAAAGAGTTGGGGTCCTGTGGTCATGAGGGCAGGGGCCAGGATCGCCCACACTGTTGATTGCACTCACGGTCTAGGTCACCCCACCAAAGCTTTCTGCATCCATCTCTGTCATCAGCCCAAGCAGCCTGCCGTGCACTCCCTGACAAGGGGGAAACCATCATATGAACTCCCCCAAGTCATAACCCCTGTACATCTTAATGTGACTTTATTTGGTGACAGGGAGGTGATCAAATTAAAATGAGGTCATAGGGCCAGAGGCAGTGGCTCACGCCTGTAATCCCAGCACTCTGAGAAGCAGAGGCGGGAGGATCATGAGGTCAGGAGTTTGAGACCAGCCTGGCCAACACAGTGAAACCCTGTCTCTACTAAAAATACAAAAATTAGCTGGGTGTGGTGGTACACGCCTATAATTCCAGCTACTCAGGAGGCTGAGGCAAGAGAATCGCTTGAACCTGGGGGGTGGAGGTTGCAGTGCGCCAAGATCGTGCCACTGCACTCCAGCCTGGGCGACAGAGCGAGACTCCATCTCAAGACATAAATAAATAATAAATTAAAATGAAGTCATTAGGGTGGGCTGTAATCCAGTAAGACCAGGATCTTCATAAAAAGGGGAAATTTGGACACAGACATGCCCCGAAGTAAGACAATGTGAAGAAACAGAGGGAAGAAGCACAGCCTGGACCAGGGGCCCCTTCACTGCCCTGGGAAGGAACCAGCCTCACCCACACCTTCATTGCAGCCTTCTGGCCTCCAGAGTGAGAGAATGGTTCCTGTAGCTTAAGCCCCTGGCTGTGGTGTTTGTTACGGCAGCCCAGGGAAGTTCAAGCACTCACCTGCCAGGACTGATTCCTGCCGGCTGTGGGTAGGCGGTTGGGTTGCTCCGGAGAGGCTCATTGATGCCTCTTTGTGAGTTCAGGCTTCAAGGAAGTGGGCAGTCCCTCAGCTCCCCACGGACTCCTCTCCCCCGTCTGTCCTCATGCAAACCAAGACACTCACTGGAAAAAATACCAAGCCCATTCTGGTGACAGCACGATCCAATCTGGGGGACGGGATTTCTGCCTTCCGCCCCTCCAAACCCAGCTCAGGAATTTGAATAAATTGAGGCTTGCTGGAGGGTTTGTTGTTATGGAATTGGAGCAATGAGAAGGAAAAACCATGGAGATGGCTATTTTCTTCCTCTTTTTAAAAATTTAAATTAAATAGTTCATGCAGGGAACGCACACAGATTGGGAAGTATATGCTTAGAATTCAGACATGGGCCCTACGATTCTTACTCTCACCTCTGCAGTCTCACGCCGTCTGCCTTCCAGAACAAGGAATCCTTTTCAGAGCCAGTTCAAGAATAGGCCACTACATGAAAGTGCCTTTAAATTTAAATCTTAAGTAATTTAGGTTAGGGGAAGAGAGGCTCCCACGGGTTTCTCTCTCTCTGTCCTGCTAAGCATGTAGCACAGAGTTTG